TCTACCCACTTTCTCCACCGATTGTAGAACACTAGTCAATCAAACACAATTTTGCACTGAATTTTCCAGAGGAAATAGTTTGCATTTTCAAACAAACTGGACAGCCCTTTCATGATTTACAGGCGAAGAAGTAGGCTTGGTGGTGCATACTTGCAAAAGCGAGATGTTACCATCGTTCAAAATGCTTCATTTAATTTCACTCACCATTCTGATTGAAATCACACGCTCGTGCACAAATTGTGTGGGCACAACATCCAACACAAATCCAGCTAGAAGGGTGCTGCCAATCAGAAAAATTTGGAAATGTAATCAACTTTTTTTAAAGATCCCCACCAAGTGAACGTACATGCTAAACTCAGATTTGAATGCCATGATTGGCTTTTTGGCAAAAGATCTGTGAGGTTTTGCTCTGTGTGCTCCAGTGGCAGTATAGAGGCAACTTCTTTATAGAGGATTATCTGTCATTTCTATGCATGGCCTGGACCTGTGTCTGGATGTATCATGTGCGATCAAGCACACCACACTGGATGTTTAAGAGACACGTACAAAGGTCCTTGTTGCCAAAATATTCCCCCAGTACTGTCTTAGACAAGCTCAGACAATATCTTTAAAACCCTACAACTAACATCTAATCAAATCACAGATTCTATACCGATCATCTTTGTCTTTTGGACTGCAATTAATATTTACTGTTTATGTTTAAATGCAGTGGCTAACTTTCAGAAGTTTGTCACTTTTTTGGGTCGTTTTTGTGAACTTGGTCTGCAAGCACTGTAGCACTAGAGCCGTCCTGTGAAAATAGTGTAAATGTGTTCTACTGTAGCCCGTTTTAAACAAGCAAACCTAAATTCATTGAATAAATGTTTTTTTTAATTTTTTTTTATATGCCTCCTGTCTGTTCCCTTTGAGGTTGAATTCAAAACACAAACGACATAACTTAACAAAAACAACATTTTAAATATTGTCAAACTTGAACACTGATATAAATAAACTAAATGTCATAAGATGGAAAAATGTGACAGGTTCTTTGGATCTGGGTTGAGCAGGCAGAGTGACATAGAGGCAGATAACAAGAAGAACAGTTAACAAACATTTAATAAATTAAGGCATGGTTTTACAATTTCACCGTGGCCCATCTCCGGCCCTGGAACACACTCACAAACCAAGCAATTTAAAAACATACCAAGGAAACAAAAAGCACAGGAGGTGGTGCAGCCCAGGAGGCAGGCATCAATTTTCCTTCACGTACAAGACTCCATTATCATTGTTTCTATTCACCATTTATTTCAATACATTGAGAAATGTTTAACTTAAAAGTATAAATTCTCCTAAAAGTGACACGGCATTGGTGTGACTCACAGACAAGGGCAGAGAGCGAGACATGCATATTTTAAAGTTTTAATCCTCATGATCTGCATAATAGTTATCTTCAGGCAATCAGATGTAGGACCCACCATGTCCAAAGCATGCAACAGGGAGATTATCATTAGGCAGATCCTATAAGTGAGGCATTCAGCATCTTCAGAAGGCATGGGGCAGAACTAAGATAGGGATGAAACTAAGCACAGACAAAGAACGTGATGATTAGCCAAGGACAGACAGATAGAAAGACAATTAGAAAGAAACAGGCAGAAAGAGACTGACAGAACTCAAGAATCAGCCAGTTGCATTATTATGCAACATGATTTACCATCCACAACCAAATGTAACAATCAAACTACAGGTTCTAGGCCCATTTTTAGGGAAACAGTCAGGAAGCTAAATAATAATAATAGTTAATAAGAACACTATAGTTTAGGTTTCCTTGTAAAGAATCAGTAAACTGTACAAACCATGGACAAGCTGGAGAATACAGGGTGTTCTCAGTTCTACAGTTTGTGGATGGTTCATCACTGCCAATACAACAGTGCCTTCACAGACTTTAGGCCAAGTCTGAACAAGTCCATAAAACTACTTATAGGACCAAAAACAGTGACATAAAAGCAAGAAAGAGGTGGATTCAAAACACTCTCCAAACACATAAAATAAACTGCTAATAAAATACATAATTTCTGTGGCATAACTTAACACTTGAAATGTCACACTTGAATAAACAAACACATACCTTTGAGTACAATTGACCACACCCCAAATATTGGGGGTCCTCAAATGGCTTTCAAACAAATTACTAGCACAGCAACAACACATCCCTAAAACACACAAATAACCCTTAAGTATACTGAACAAAAATAAAAACGCAACATGCAACAATTTCAAAGATTTTACTGAGTTACAGTTCATATAAGGAAATCAGTCTATTGAAATGAATTAATTTTGCCCTAATCTATTGATTTCACATGACAGGGAATATAGATATGCATTTGTAGGTCACAGATACCTTTAAAAAAAGGTAGGTGCGTGGATCAGAAAACCAGTCAGTATCTGGTGTGACCACCATTTGCCTCATGCAGCGTGACACATCTCCTTCGGATAGAGTTGATCAGGCTGCTGATTGTGGCCTGTGCAAAGTTGTCCCACTCCCCTTCAATGGCTGTGTGAAGTTGCTGGATTGTGGCGGGAACTGGAGCATGCTGTCGTACACATCAGTCCAGAGCATCCCAGACATGCTCAACGGGTGACATGTCTATTGTGTATGCAGGCCATGGAAGAACTGGGAAATGTTCAACTTCCAGGAATTGTGTACAGATCCTTGTGACATGGGGCCATGCATTATCATGCTGAAACATGAGGCGTCACAGTATCTCTGTGCATTCAAATGGCCATCGATAATGCAATTGTGTTCGTTGTCTGTAGCTTATGCCTGCCTATACCATAACCCCAACGCCACCATGGGGCACTCTGTTCACAACGTTGACATCAGCAAACCGCTCGCCCACACGACACCATACACGTGGTCTGCGGTTGTGAGGCCGGTTGGACGTACTGCCAAATTCTCTAAAACTAAGTTGGAGGTGGCTTATGGTAGAGAAATGAACATTCAATTCTCTGGCAACAGCTCTGGTGGACATTCAGCATGCCAACTGCACGCTCCCTCAAAATTGAGACATCTGTGGCATTGTGTTGTGTGACAAAACTGCACATTTTAGAGTGACCTTTTATTGTCCCCAGCACAAGGTGCACCTGTGTAATGATCATGCTGTTTAATCAGCTTCTTGATATGCCACACCTGTCAGGTGGATGGATTATCTTGGCAAAGGAGAAATGCTCACTAGCAGGGATGTAAACAAATTTGTGCATTCAATTTGAGAGAAATACACTTTTTGTGTGTATGGAAAATTTCTGGGATCGTTAATTTCAGCACATGAAACATGTGACCAACAATTTACTTGTTGCGTATATATTTTTGTTCAGTGTACATAAGTCTCAGCTGCAGTACTAGCAAATATGGTTTGGTATGGGTACTAGGTGGTCATGTCTAGAAGAGATACAGCTTTTGTCAAATTGATGTCAAAAGTTGATTATTTTCTTGCATTTTAGCTAACCCTAACCCTTGTCCTAACCTTAATCTAATTCACCTGATACGTTAATTTTCCTAACCTGCTGCGTAAATTCTCCTAAACCTGCTACGAAAAGTCAATTTTGACAAAAGCTGTGTGCTTTCTAGACGAAGCCCTACTAGGTGCATTTAAACATTCTTAATGTTCATCACTAATTAGGGTCCCATGAGAAACACTGACAAACACTTTGGTTCCTGTCACATTAAAACCAAAGTTTGTATATTATCTTTGCTAAAATTGCAAAATATAGCGAACAGATTTAGCATTGTCACTTTGTATGAGAAACTCCCACAATAATAAGCCCATTTACAGTGTGATTGGTTAGCTTAGCTTTATGATACAGTATCTCTAAAACGAGGCTTTTTATTGATAAGCAGGTGCAACTATTTATTTTATCCATTAAGAAAATGCATTATTATTGTGAATGAGGTATATTTTTACTGGGCGTCTTCCACCACTTTTGGCTTCTTTTTTTTTTACGGGATCCAATGAAATCGTGAGCAGGCATCTATTCGAGCCAATGAAAACGCTTGTTTTCTGCGGTTCGTGGAACCCAAATCCAGGCCTGCCTACAGTGGCACATGTAATCAGCTCAGAGATGGAAGAGGAAGCGAGACACCCCACTCACTGTTTTTTTTTCTAGTTCAATGAAAGTCAATGAACTAAGAAGACCAAACCCATCTGCTATTGCATTGGTGCCAGTTAAGTAGACCGGAACTTACAACTTCTTTTCAATGGTAAACGGCCTGAGTGAACAATCTTAATTTATCTGCCATCTTTGATCAGCTGTCAAGACACTTAAGCTACAAGCGTGTGTCGCTAACACTACGAAAAGAGACTTAAGTTCATTGAAGAGAGATGGTGAGTAGCTAGATGTTTTATGTGTCCACTTGCACCCAGCATGTAAAGCTTCGCTAGCTAAATCAAATGTTTGTAGCTATAGCTTTTAGCCTCCGCTGCAGGTACATTTAGGCTACCAACTAGCTACGTAAGGTAGCTAGTTTAGCAATATCAGCTACCGGTAAAATTTCGCTACGGGTAGTTAGTTAGAGACCAATCACAGTTACTGCTTCACTGCCTTCAGGTTCTCTTCAAGTTGATAACTGGCTAGGTGTCAGTTTGAAGTTAGCAGCATAAATTGCCCTTACATTCATTTTACTAGCCATGGAGACGTTGCACACATAAAGTTAGTTAGCTTACTTGGGCTGCTAGCATCGATGGTTACCTTCAACCTTCACAGCTAGCACTTCCCCCCCATGCCATGGCTATATTGGGTAATTTCTTTCCTTGGCTTAAGAGGATTTGGTTCCTTCCTTTAAAAGTTGAAACTGACACAGTTGTAGGAGGGCGCCCCCCACTATCGACACGTGTAGTAGCGACTCCTTTGAGATGCACAGCAGTTGATGTGTCAGTTGAAAAAGTTCTCTACAAACGTTGACCCCTTTTTGGACTGTAGCTACATTGATTAACCAGTAGTGTGTGTGTGTGTTTCTCTCTGAACAGGCGCTGATTGGAGTGCAGCTGGTGGTCAGCTTGCTGGCTGCTAGCATCATGCACAGAATGACTCCACACTGTTCCTTTGCCCGCTGGCTTCTGTGCAATGGCAGGTAAAGTCATGTACTCAAATGTCATATACAGAAGTGGCTTTGGCGATTGGGTGTAGCAATGTCCTGATAATGGTTAGGGTCTGGAGTTATTCCTGTCAGATCATGAGGGCAGGAGAAACTCATAGTGAATAGATTTGAGTAAAACAACAGTCATACTACTAGCCAACTACTTGCAATGTATATATGTTTAAAACAAATCTAACTTGATCCTTTCAGTCTATTCCGGTTCAAACACCCCTCTGAAGGAGAGCTGTGTGCCCTGGCAGGCAAACAGATGCCCAGCAAGCCCAGCAGGAGAGACAGGTGTGAGCTGGGGAGGGGGCATGATGATACAGTACAACTGGTGTCTGCTGCCTTTTGTATCACTGTTATGATAGTAGACTGGTTGTTACAGGGAAGGTTTGCTGACTTCTTCTTTGTAGGAGACAGAATGGGGACAGCAAGCCTCTCACAGTGCCGAAGGACATCGACCTTAACTTGGAAAAAGCTCCAATCGGCATCCTTGATGCCCTTGGTAAATAAACAAAAGCACAACCACTACTGCTGACTGAAATGCCCTCCAAGCCTTTGCATTTAGGCCTTATCTTTTCCTTACAATATTTTTGCTTTGTCTCTCCTTTCCCATTCTCAGTACTGCGATTCTTCCTGGAGTACCAGTGGTTGATTGACTTTGCAGTGTATGCCATGGGCATCTACCTTTTCACTGAGGGCTACTTCTGTGTAGTGGACCCTACCAAGGAGGTCCACATTGGGGCCATCTGGTGTGTGCTGACCGTTCTCTGCTGCCTGTATCCTTCAGGTCACCCTCTCTGAAAGCCCATAATTGTATTACCATTTTAAATTGAAAATGGAGTATAACTTATTCCTAAGAAAACAGCTCTAAGTACTATGTTACAATGTCAACTTAGACTGAAGTTGTACTCACTGTACTTGCCAATGTTATCACCATGTAAAAACAGTTAGTGTCAATTTCTGCAAAGTGGGCCCCTCGTATACATCAATACATTAAAGTCCCGCCTACTTCCTGTTGCAAGTCCTGTACTGTTTTTGAATGGGCTTCAAGCTTATATAATCAAATTCATGAAAACATGGTCATTTAAGATATACAGTATGTACAATTATATTAATTTACTTCTACCTAATGCCTTTCATTAATGTTTTAGATTATGAAAAATAATAAACGCAATCAAAAACCTTCATGAAAGACATCAGAAGTAAATTAATCCACAAATACGAATATAATTTTACATATCTTAAATGACCAAGTTTTCATGAATTTGATTATATAAGCTTGAAGCCCATTCAAAAACAGTACGGAACTTGCAACAGGAAGTAGGCGGGACTTTCATAGTGTATCACCCAAACATGCACTGTTGCCAGAAAAACACTCCGACGCACCCGTTGTGCTCCTCCTTGATTGGAGTTGTTTGTTGTTAAGGGACTGCCTGGTTGTCCCTGTGTTGCCCTTAACCCTCTCTCACAGGAAAACCCTCCACTCCCTGATGGGCCACTATTTCCGGTCTGACGAGGGGGGCGAGCGCTCGGTGTGCTTGGCCTTTGGTTTCCTATCTCTGCTTGTGGCCATGTTGGTGCTAGTGGTCAGAGAAGACTACCTGGAGTTTGGCCTGGAGCCTGGTATGTTCACTACACTAACCCCTACTACAGTAGTTCCATGGGGATATAAACTGAGTGTACAAAACATTAGAAACACTTTCAAAGTATTGAGTTGCACCCCCTTGTGCCCTCAGAACAGCCTCAATTAGTAAGGGCATGGACTCTACAAGGTGTCAAAAGTGTTCCACACGGATGCTGGCCCATGTTGACTCCAATGCTTCCCACAGTTTTGTCAAGTTGGCTGGATGTCCTTTGGGTGTTGGACCATTCTTGATACGCATTGGAAACGTTTGAGCGTGAAAAATCCAGCAGCATTGCCATTCTTGACACACTCAATCCGGTGAGCCTGGCACCTACTACAATAACCCGTTCAAAGGCACTTAAATATTTTGTCTTGCCCCTTCACCCTCTGAATGGCACGCATACACAATCCATGTCTCAAGGCTTAAAAATCCTTCTTAAACCTGTCTCCTCCCCTTCATCTACACTGATTTGAAGTGGAATTGACAAGTGACATAAATAAGGGATCAAAGCTTTCAACTGGATTCACCTGGTCAGTCTGTCATGGAAAGAGCAGGTGTTCCTAATGTTTTGTACACTGTGTTTATGTATTTAACAATTATTTGTTTAGTTAATTTTATCATTTTAGTTTGGAGTTTCTATGCTTTTTGTATTGCAGGTTTTAATAGTCTTTTTGACAACCTTGAGGTTTTCGCAAAACAGCAAGGCTTTGCTGAGTGGTCGTAAGTATCTTTTCATTGGACAGTTGAAATTGATTTAAAAAATAAAGTCACACCTTGGGTCCATAGAATAGTAGCCAGTCATTCATGGACTGACAATATGCTTTTAGTGATCTGTATGTTGGCAAATGTTTCCCCTAATGTTTATTAAATGTGGACTCCCATCAGAGTCCCGGTGACCAAGCTGACTGTGAAGTTGGGTCTTGCTGCCATCTGTGCTTTTATTGGTGCTTTGCTGGCCTTCCCTGGCCTCCGCCTAGCCCAGACCCACCTGGACGCAGTTCAGATGAACTCAGACCGCCCATTCATCCAGTAAGAACACCCAAACACATAGATTTAGCTGTGAAACCAAATAACCAACTGGCTCCACTAGTAATGTCTTCTTGTTCGGGTGTTGTTGTTTTCTGCTTCCCGTAGGATTCTGTTGCACATGAGTTTTCTGGCTCCAGTGGTGGTGATCGTGTTGTGGATCAAACCCATCGCTAGGGACTTCCTGGGGAACGCTCCCATGGGGAAGACCTCAGTCACGCTGTAAGTGTGTGTCTTGGTACACTATATATACAGAAGTACGTGGACACCCCTTCAAATTAGTGGATTCGGCTATTTCAGTCACACCCGTTGCTGACAGGTGTATAAAATCGAGCACATAGCCATGCAATCTCCATAGACAAACATTGACAGTAGAATGGCCTTACTGAAGAGCTCAGTGACTTTCAATGTGGCACCGTCATAGGATGCCACTATTCCAGCAAGTCAGTTCGTCAAATTTCTGCCCTGCTAGAGCTGCCCCGGTCAACTGTAAGTGCTTTTATTGTGAAGTGGAAAGGTCTAGGAGCAACAACGGCTGAGCCGCCAAAGTGGTAGGCCACACAAGCTCACAGAACGGGACCACCGAGTGCTGAAGCGCTTAAAAATTGTCTGTCATCGGTTGTAACACTCACTACCGAGTTCCAAACTGCCTCTGGAGCAATGTCAGCACAATAACTGTTCGTCTGGAGCTTCATGGAATTGGTTTCCATGGCCGAGCAGCCGCACACAATCCTAAGATCACAATGCCAAGCGTAGGCTGGAGTGGTGTGGAACAAGCTCCCTCACGACGCTAGGACAGCGGAGTCACTCACCACCTTCCGGAGACACTTGAAACCCCACCTCTTTAAGGAATACCTGGGATAGGATGAAGTAATCCTTTTACCCCCCCCCCCCCCCCCCCCAAAAAAAAAAAAAAACATATTGTAAAGTGGTTATCCCACTGGCTATAAGGTGAATGCACCAATTTGTAAGTCGCTCTGGATAAGAGCGTCTGCTAAATGACGTAAATGTGTAAAGCTCGCCGCCATTGGACTCTGGCGCAGTGGAAATGCGTTCTCTCGAGTGATTAATCATGCTTCACCATCTGGCAGTCTAATGGATGAATCTGGGTTTTGGCGGATGCCAGGAGAACTCTACCTGCCCCAATGCATAGTGCCAACTGTAAAGTTTGGTGGAGGAGGAATAATGGTCTGGGGCTGTTTTTCATGGTTCGGGCTAGTCGCCTTAGTTCCAGTGAAGGGAAATCTTAATGCTACAGCACACAATGGCATTCTAGATGAAACTGTGCTTCCAACTTTGTGGCAACAATTCTACCCTTGTACCATCTCTACCCTTGTTTTTTGTGAACAACTTGTAATTTATAACATCACAGTCAAACACACACACAGATCCTGCATCTCTACCCTTGTAAAGTACAATCAAACTTAGTCACAATATGCAAACTTAAAAAAAATATATATATATTATATGACTGGAGACATGCAAAATGTAACAGCAGATGTGTATAAAAAAAAATATTCTAATATTTGAGTGAAACATGGTAAGAGCATCCGTTTCATTTGGAATGGTCTGTTTTTGAAAGCATATTAAGGAACAATTCTCCTCTCCATTGTGAGCCATATTTACAGTTATCCAATCACCTCAGCCCAAATCTGACTGATTAGTTATTACCTGTATCCAAGTGCATTGCTGGATAATTCTTACTGCATAACCATCACCATGAAAAAGCATAATCCTTGCCTACCCCAGTCACAGTTATTCAAGTCTTAATGTGAACAATGGGTCTGGTCACCTCTCTTGGCAAGGGCATCAAAGTCTGGTGTCATCTTTGATGTAGAGATTCTGAGAACAGCTCACAAGTGGTCATTTGTTAAATTTGACCTGTGACGGGATTTGTTGTAATTCATGACTGAGAACGTTTGTTCACACACACACACTACCAGTCAAAAGTTTGGACACACCTACTCATTCAAGTGTTTTTCTTTATTTTTTTAAAACTATTTTTTACATTGTAGAATAATAGTGAAGACCTCAAAACTATGAAATAAAACATATGGAGTCATGTAGTAACCAAAAAGTGTTAAACAAATCAAAAATAATTTTATATTTGAGATTCTTCAAATAGCCACCCTTTGCCTTAATGAAAGCTTTGCACACTCTTAGCATTCCTTCAAGCAGCTTCATGAGGTAGTCCCCTGGAATGCATTTCAATTAACAGGTGTGCCGCCTTAAAAGTTAATTTTAAGTGTATACAGGGGGTGTATACAGAAGATAGCCGTATTTGGTAAAAGACCAAGTCCATATTATGGCAAGAACAGCTCAAATAAGCAAAGAGAAACGGCAGTCAATCATTACTTTAAGACATGAAGGTCAGTCAATATGGAACATTTCAATAACTTTTTAAAAGTTTCTTCAAGTGCAGTTGCAAAAACCATCAAGCGCTATGATGAAACTGGCTCTCATGAGGACAACAACAGGAATGGAAGACCCAGAGTTACCTCTGCGGCAGAGGATAAGTGCATTAGAGTTACCAGCCTCAGAAATTGCAGCCCAAATAAATGCTTCACAGAGTTCAAGTAACAGACACATCTCAACATCAACTGTTCAGAGGCGACTGTGTGAATCAGGCCTTCATGGTCGAATTTCTGCAAAGAAACCACCACTAAGGGAAACCAATAAGAAGAAGAGACCTGCTTGGGCCAAGAAACACGAGCAATGGACATTAGACCGGTGGAAATTGGTCCTTTGGTCTGGAGTCCAAATTGGAGATTTTTGGTTCCAACCGCCGTGTCTTTGTGAGACGCAGTGTGGGTGAACGGAAGATCTCCGGATTTGTAGTTCCCACCGTAAAGCATGGAGGAGGAGGTGTTATGTGTGGGGGTGCTTTGCTGGTGACACTGTCTGTGATTTATTTAGAATTCAAGGCACACTTAACCAGCAATGCTACCACAGCATTCTGCAGCAATACGCCATCCCATCTGGTTTGGTCTTAGTGAAACTATCATTTATTTTTCAACAGGACCATGACCCAACACACCTCCAGGCTGTGTAAGGGCTATTTTACCAATAAGGAGAGTGATGGAGTGCTGCATCAGATGACCTGGCCTCCACAATCCCCCGACCTCAACCCAATTGAGATGGTTTGGGATGAGTCGGACTGCAGAGTGAAGGAAAAGCAGCCAACAAGTGCTCCGCATATGTGGGAACTCCTTCAAGACTGTTGGAAAAGCATTACAGGTCAAGCTGGTTGCGAGAATGCCAAGAATGTGCAATGCTGTCATCAAGGCGAAGGGTGGCTATTTGAAGAATCTCAAATATAAAATATATATTTTGATTTTTGTTACTCTTTTTGGGTTACTACATGATTCCATATGTGTTATTTCATAGTTTTGATGTCTTCACTGTTATTCTACAATGTAGAAAATAGTAAAAATAAAGAAAAACCCTGGAATGAGTAGGTGTGTCCAAACTTTTGACTGGTACTGTATGTGGACCCGAGTTAAACAAGCATCCTTTGGGCGTGCTTTTTAATATTTGGAAACTTTGTTTCATTCAGTGAGCCATAGAACTGGTCTGTTGCTGTTTTGTACTTCTCCTTCAAATTACTGTCACATTGGATGTCGATGAGCTCCAATTGTGTGTCTGGTGGTGCTTTCTCACTGTCGAAAAACAGGGCTTGATACAAGCTTCAGCTCAGTCTCAATCTTCGTGAAGTCTGAGAAGCGGCAGGAAAACTCAGCGTGCAGGTCGATCAAAGTGCAACTATATGTCACAGTGCGGCACTGCAATGTGGGCGCATTCAGTGCGGCCAGTGTCGGAAAATGAGCGAGAGACCGGCTGCTCATTTGTCTGGAGAACAACATAAGTTTGGCCTTGAATGCTTTCACGTTGGAATACAGTTCATGCACAAAAACACAATTTCCCTGCAGTTTCACATTTAGATTGTTCAGATGCCCCAATATGTCCACACCGAAAGCAAAGTCGCCCAGCCAGTCTGTGTCTTTCAACTCAGAGAAGTCTTCAGCTTTTTCAACCGTATCAAGGAACATACCCATCTCCCCTCTCAGTTCCCACACATGGCAAAATACTTTTCCCAGCGCACATTTGAATGTGCCTCTGTCATTAAGCAGCTGAATGAACAGACGATGGTTAAGCCCCCTTGTCCGTATAAAGTTGACAAGTTTTACAACCACTTTGACAACATTTTCCAGCTTTAACACACTTTTACACAGGGCTTCCTGATGAATAATACAGTGAATACGTATGCATAAGCTCTAATATGTGTATGGGTGTTTTGAATTAATCATCACCTTAGAAAGCGCTGTCCATTTAATTGTTTAATCGCTTACCATGTTTTCCACTAATTTGCAACCTTTTTATTGAACTTCTTAATTCAAATTGAACGGTCAGTGAGGTGAGTTTTAAAAGCATTATACTGTTTTGATGATAAGTGCTTGATGTGATTTGAGATTCCATTTGCATTGATGTCAGTGGTTAGAGGGACAATAGAGCGCTGACTGACGGTCAATAGCGAGTTGGGTACTACCAACGCATGTCCAGAATGCATAAGAGGAGATTACCGTGACTCAATGGTCATGTGGAATTTGACTGCGGTCATGACTGCCGGTGTGGCGGTAATACAGTCACTGCAACAGCCCTACTCCTTCTCCTAGTGTTGACAGATCTCCTCTGTGCGTTATCCCAGTATGTCAAGCGCGATGTTTGACAGTGTTCGTCTGTGGACGGTCGTGGTGCTCTGCTTCCTGAGGCTGGCCCTGATCCGATACCACATGCAGGCCTACCTCAACCTGTCCCAGAAGTGGGTGGACCAGATGAAGAAGGAGGCAGGACGCATCGCTGCCATCGACATCCAGAGGAAGGTAAGACCTAAACATCTAAACCTCAGCCATTTTGTTTTCATGTCAAATTAATTGTTTTGAGTTAGGCTTGGGTGATATACAGTTTATACCGTATACTGGGGTTTTTCAAAATACCGGCAATATGATTTTCAATACCGAAAAAAAAATTATATATACAGTGAGGGGAAAAAGGTATTTGATCCCCTGCTGATTTTGTACATTTGTCCACTGACAAAGAAATGATCAGTCTATAATTTTAATGGTAGGTTTATTTGAACAGTGAGAGACAGAATAACAACAAAATAATCCAGAATAACGCATGTCAAAAATGTTATAAATTGATTTGCATTTTAATGAGGGAAATAAGTATTTGACCCCTCTCAATCAGAAAGATTTCTGGCTCAAAGATTTCTGGCTCCCAGGTGTCTTTTATACAGGTAACAAACTGAGATTAGGAGCACACTCTTAAAGGGAGTGCTCCTAATCTCAGTTTGTTACCTGTATAAAAGACACCTGTCCACAGAAGCGATCAATCAATCAGATTCCAAACTCTCCACCATGGCCAAGACCAAAGAGCTCTCCAAGGATGTCAGAGACAAGATAGTAGACCTACACAAGGCTGGAATGGGCTACAAGACCATCGCCAAGCAGCTTGGTGAGAAGGTGACAACAGTTGGTGCGATTATTCGCAAATGGAAGAAACACAAAATAACTGTCAATCTCCCTCGGCCTGGGGCTCCATGCAAGATCTCACCTCGTGGAGTTGCAATGATCATGAGAACGGTGAGGAATCAGCCCAGAACTACACGGGAGGATCTTGTCAATGATCTCAAGGCAGCTGGGACCATAGTCACCAAGAAAACAATTGGTAACACACTACGCCGTGAAGGACTGAAATCCTGCAGCGCCCGCAAGGTCCCCCTGCTCAAGAAAGCACATGTACAGGCCCGTCTGAAGTTTGCCAATGAACATCTGAATGATTCAGAGGAGAACTGGTTGAAAGTGTTGTGGTCAGATGAGACCAAAATCGAGCTCTTTGGCATCAACTCAACTCGCCGTGTTTGGAGGAGGAGGAATGCTGCCTATGACCCCAAGAACACCATCCCCACCGTCAAACATGGAGGTGGAAACATTATGCTTTGGGGGTGTTTTTCTGCTAAGGGGACAGGACAACTTCACCGCATCAAAGGGACGATGGACGGCGCCATGTACCGTCAAATCTTGGGTGAGAACCTCCTTCCCTCAGCCAGGGCATTGAAAATGGGTCGTGGATGGGTATTCCAGCATGACAATGACCCAAAACACACGGCCAAGGCAACAAAGGAGTGGCTCAAGAAGAAGCACATTAAGGTCCTGGAGTGGCCTAGCCAGTCTCCAGACCTTAATCCCATAGAAAATCTGTGGAGGGAGCTGAAGGTTCGAGTTGCCAAACATCAGGTTTGAAACCTTAATGACTTGGAGAAGATCTGCAAAGAGGAGTGGGACAAAATCCCTCCTGAGATGTGTGCAAACCTGGTGGCCAACTACAAGAAACGTCTGACCTCTGATTGCCAACAAGGGTTTTGCCACCAAGTACTAAGTAATGTTTTGCAGAGGGGTCAAATACTTATTTCCCTCATTTAAAATGCAAATCAATTTATAACATTTTTGACATGCGTTTTTCTGGATATTTTGTTGTTATTCTGTCTCTCACTGTTCAAATAAACCTACCATTAAAATTATAGACTGATCATGTCTTTGTCAGTGGGCAAACGTACAAAATCAGCAGGGGATCAAATACTTTTTTTCCCTCACTGTATGCATACATACACTTTTGGGGGGGGGGGGTTGGGGTGGTGCGTGCTACGCCACTGCTTAAACCATAAGTTAAGTTTAACTATAAGAAATCTAAGATGTGTTAAATAAATTATATCGATCTCAGGGCTACAGCTATGATTTGGTTTGCTAACTTACTAGCTAAGTGGCTAGATGTCAAGATCAAGCTTCTTGGTTACAGCAGAGACATTCAATCCCCTTCTGGAGCAAGATACCTGTTGCCTAAATTGTTTTAGAAATAGCGCCCCTTGTGTGCACTTCCGGTAATACCTTATACCCCGGTAGTGTACAGAAATCTGGTTACCGCCAAACCGTAGAGGTGACAGAAGAAACCTATATCCATGAGTCTTTGTTGTTGTCCTTCCAGGTGACCCGTGTGTTCTGCTACCTGACCATAGTCACCCTGCAGTACGTAGTCCCTGTTCTGCTCCTCCTCTTCTCCACCCTGGCTCTGAAGGCCCTGGGTAAGACATGTACAGCACCTAACAACAGAAGCAATAACTCTGATCTCAGTGAGGCCTTCAGTGACTGCTGAGAACCTGCATTCTACAATTCAACTATAGGGAGTCATGATCATTTACCAACAGCTTCACCATAATGTCTGATGCTACAGATAACTGCCAAAATAAAGGAAACACTTGTGTAAATGAGGGATAGAAAATGTATTGTAGTGACGTGACTTTCATTAATATGAGTGTTATTTATCGAATCAACTAACTATGTTTAATTGTTACTCAATTTAAATTATGTAACAATTAAGTCATTAGGATTTGGGGCACCACAGAATAAGTTGTTTATGGAGTAACCATCTCCCGAATTAAACTCTATAAGGTATTTTACCTATCACTATGTATAAAAGTCAACGTATTAATCATTACCTCTTATCAGTCGTCATTCTGAATGGTCGAATAATTATTGGATCCGCATGAACCCTAGCTTTACTTATGATTCAGCACTAAACAAATTGGCTTCATTATTTATTTACTAGCTAACTAAATAATAACACAGAATGCATACATACTTAATACATGAGAAAAAGTCCCTAGCAGACTAACAACGGCATGACTGCTTGGTCATCAAAAGAGGGAGGGGTAGATAGGGAGAGACAAAGAGAGAGTCACACTTATCGTTGATACATTTGGAAGCTACCCTCAAAGTAATCATAATACTTTGCTCACGAACCACTGCCCGTTTGGGTAAGAAATCATGAATGTATTTACATGTAGATGTCTTTGTTTGTCGTCTCTCCGTTGAAACCAATCAATCCTTCTATGGGAAGGGGTAGGTTTTAGTGTCCCGTTTCGGTGTATGGCTCTGATTGTCCACCAGAGGTCACAATGTCCTCCTTAGTTGTCCTGGCTTGGAGTGGAGTGTTCAAATAGAACAGATACTCAGATGCATTCTAATGATTGTCTGAGATGGGATTCTCCTTCCCACCTCGTGTAGTTAGTCAAAGTTCTAGACCACTTTACATGGACAGCTGCAGACTGGCAATGCTAGTCTAGTGAGTTTATCTTCTTCTCCTTGTGTTGAGATTCAAAGCTCTAACCATTTCAAACGTGTGGACTACCGTCACCACGCTTTCTGGTCTAACCATTTTAAGCCGTGTAGTCACAGCTCCACACTTTCTTGTCTAATGTAAATTTTGTTACCAAGGCTTTTTATGCACTCTGGTAAAAGGGGCGTTCCTACTTGCTGACACGGTCTCTTATAGCTTATATGAAATCCTATGATCTCGTTAGAAAACTAAAATCACATTCCTATCTTAACAAAAATACTCTCGTAATTCTCCATATTATATACACAACATATTGGATGTAAACTTGACAGATAAAGTGTGTATACTTTTCAAATTACAGTATTTTCGTTATAACCTTTTTAATGACATCATAAAATAGTAAACAATATGACGTGATTAGTCTTTAGATCCTCACTGACCATTCCAAACATTCGGATATTAGGAATATTGTTCCGGTGTTTACTTTTTGGACGTTATAGTTTTCGCGGCAAAAGTCTTCTGGGGGACAAAGCACATTCCTTTCAATACTGAAGAGCAAGGGAGAGATTCCCCTCCTGCCTAATTTACGACCGAGTGTTAAGGTGTCAAAACCGGCCCAGCCGTCTTTCCAGACTGATAATTAGATGAGGGGACGCGCTGTACCCAAATGAACGAATGACGGGAATCAACACAATTCCGCATTAGATTAACCATTCTCAAGATGGGTGAGCCTAGTATGTTGATACAGTTGAAGTCGGAAGTTTACATACACCTTAGCCAAATACATTTAAACTCAGTTTTTCACAATTCCTGACATTTAATCCTAGTAAAACTTCCCTGTCTTAGGTCAGTTAGGATCACCACTTTATTTTAAGAATGTGAAATGTCAGAATAATAGTAGAGAGAATTATTTATTTTGGCTTGTATTTCTTTCATCACATTCCCAGTGGGTCAGAAGTTTACATACACTCAATTAGTATAGGGTAGCATTGCCTTTAAATTGTTTGACTTGGGTCAAACGTTTCGGGTAGCCTTCCACAAGCTTCCCACAATAAATTGGGTGAATTTTGGCCCATTCCTCCTGACAGAACTGGTGTAACTGAGTCAGGTTTGTAGGCCTCCTTGCTCGCACACACTTTTTCAGTTCTGCCCACAAATGTTCTATAGGATTGAGGTCAGGACTTTGTGATGGCCACTCCAATACCTTGACTTTGTTGTCCTTAAGCCATTTTGGCACAACTTTGGAAGTATGCTTGGGGTCATTGTCCATTTGGAAGACACATTTGCGACCAAGCTTTAACTTCCTGACTGATGTCTTGATGTTGCTTGAATATATCCACATAATTTCCCTTCCTCATGATGCCCTCTATCAGCAAAGCACCCCCACAGCATGATGCTGCCACCCCCGTGCTTCACGGTTGGGATGGTGTTCTTCGGCTTACAAGCCACCCACTTTTTCCTCCGAACATAACGATGGTCATTATGGGCAAACAGTTCTATTTTTGTTTCATCAGACCAGAGGACATTTCTCCAAAAAGTACAATCTTTGTCCCCATGTGCAGTTGCAAACCATAGTCTGGCTTTTTTATGGCGGTTTTGAAGCAGTGGCTTCATCCTTGCTGAGCGGCCTTTCAGGTTATGTCGATATAGGACTCATTTTACTGTGGATATAGATGCTTTTGTACCTGTTTCCTCCAGCATCTTCACAAGGTCCTTTGCTGTTGTTCTGGGATTGATTTGCGCTTTTCGCACCAAAGTACGTTAATCTCTAGGAGACAGAATGCGTCTCCTTCCTGAGCGGTATGACGGCTGCGTGGTCTCATGGTGTTTATACTTGCGTACTATTGTTTGTAAAGATGAACGTGGTACCTTCAGGCATTTGGAAATTGCTCCCAAGGATTAACCAGACTTGTGGAGGTCTACAATTTATTTTCTTAGGTCTTGGCTGATTTCTTTTGATTTTCCCATGATGTCAAGCAAAGAGGCACTGAGTTTGATTTAGGCCTTGAAATACATCCACATGTACACTTCCAATTGACTCAAATGATGTCAATTAGCTTATCAGAAGCTTCTAAAGCCATGACAAGCTGTTTAAAGGCACCGTCAACTTAGTGTCTGTAAACTTCTGACCCACTGGAATTGTGATACGGTGAATTATAAGTGAAATAATCTGTCTGTAAACAATTGTTGGAAAAATTACATGTGTCATGCACAAAGTAGATGTCGTAACCGACTTGCCAAAGCAATAGTTTGTTAACAAGACATTTGTGGAGTGGTTGAAAAACGAGTTTTAATGACTCCAACCTAAGTGTATGTAAACTTCCAACTTCAACTGTATTTGTTGCTTACTGTGTTCATTTTGACTAAACAGTACGTTCTAAAGAGTATATAGTACAATTAGTACACAGTGTATACTGAATAAAACTATAAATGCAACATGTAAAGTGTTGGTCCCATGTTTCATGAGCTGAAATGAAAGATCCCAGAAATGTTCCATATGCACAAAAAGCGTATTTCTCTCACATTTTGTGCACAGATGTGTTTACATACCTGTTAGTGAGCATTTCTCCTTTGTCAAGATAATCCATCCACCTGACAGGTGTGGCATATCAAGAAGCTGATTAAACAGCATGATCATTACACAGGTGCACCTTGTCCTGGGGACAATAAAAGGCCACTCTAAAATGTGTCGTTTTGTCACACAACACAATGCCACAGATGTCTCAAGTTTTGAGGGAGCGTGAAATTGGCATGCTGACTGCAGTAATGTCCACCAGAGCTGTTGCCGGAGAATTTAATGTTCATTTCTCTACCATAAGCCACCTCCAACGTCGTTTTAGAGAATTTGGCAGTACGTCCAACCAGCCTTACAACCGCAGACCACATGTGAAAACTCCACTCCACAGGACCTCCACATCCGTCTTCTTCACCTGCGGGATCATCTGAGACCAGCCACCTGGGCAGCTGATGAAACTGGGTTTACACAACCAAAGAATTTCTGCACAAACTGTCAGAAACCGTCTCAGGGAAGCTCATCTGCATGCTTGTCGTCCTCCACCAGGGTCTTGACCTGACTGCCATTGGGCGGCGCACAATTGGCCCATCGTCATCCAGGTTAGGGGAGGGTTTGGCCGGCAGGGGTATTCTTGTCCCATTGCGCACTAGCGACTCCTGTGGCGGGCCGGGCGCAGTGCACGCTGACACGGTCTCCAGGTGTACGGTGTTTCCTCCAACACATTGGTGCGGCTGGCTTCCAGGTTAAGCGGGCATTGTGTCAAGAAGCAGTGCGGCTCGGCTGGGTGGTGTTTCGGAGGACGATGGGACAAGACTGTAACTACCAATTGGGGAGAAAAAGGGGGGGAAAATATAAGAATTAAAAATTGTTTTCTAAAAACCTGTTTTTGCTTTGTCATTATGGGGTATTGTGTGTAGATTGATGAGAAAAAAAACGATTTCATCCATTTTAGAATAAGGCTGTAACGTAACAAAATGTGGAAAAAGTCAAGCGGTCTGAATACTTTCCGAATGCACCCATAATGACCACCCCCCCCCCCCCCTTTGTTTTTACACTGCTGCTACTCGCTGTTTGTTATCTATGCATAGTCACTTTATCCCTACCTACATGTACAAATTACCTAGACTAACCTGTACCCCCGCACATTGACTCGGTACCGGTACCCCCTGCATATAGCCTCGTTATTTTATTACTTTAGTTTATTTAGTCAATATTTCCTTAACTCTATTTCTTGAACTGCATTGTTGGTTAAGGGCTTGTAAGTAAGCATTTCACTATAAGGTCTACTACACCTGTTGTATTCGACGCATGTGACAAATAAACTTTGATTTGATATGTCGTGAAATTACCAGTCGTGAAATCCATAGATTAGGGCGAAATGAATTTATTTCAATTGACTGATTTCCTTTATATGAACTGTAACTCAGTAAAATCTTAGAAATTGTTGCATGTGGCATTCATATCTTTGTTCAGTGGGCAAATGCTGTAAGAAGTAGGCAAGACAGATTTCGGACACTGCCTGTGTGTGTGTCTCAGTCACCAGGGACTCTACCCAATTGAACACTCATGGGAGATTCTGGAGCTGTGCCTGAGACATGATTTTCCACCATTATCAACAAAACACCAATTTATGGAATTTCTCGTGGAAGAATGGTGTCTCATCCCTCCAATAGAGTTCCAGACACTTGTACAATCTATGCCAAGGTGCATTGAAGCTGTTCTGACTCGTGGTGGCCCTACGCCTTATTAAGACACTTTATGTTGGTGTTTCCATTATTTTGGGAGTTACAGTGCCTTGCCAAAGTATTCATCCCCCTTGGCGTTTTTCCTATTTTGTTGCATTACAACCTGTAATTTTTAATGGATTTTTATTTGGATTTCATGTAATGGACATACACAAAATAATCCAAATTGGTGAAGTGAAATGAAAAAAATTACTTGTTTAAAAAAATTCTAAAAAATTAATAACAGAAAAGTGGTGCGTGCATATGTATTCACCCCCTTTGCTTTGAAGCCCCAAAATAAGATCTGGGGCAACCAATTACCTTCAGAAGTCACATAATTTGTTAGATTGCACACAGGTGGACTTTATTTAAGTGTCACATGATCTCAGTGTGTATATATACACCTGTTCTGAAAGGCCCCAGAGTCTGCAACACCACTAAGCAAGGGGCACCACCAAGCAAGCGGCACCATGAAGACCAAGGAGCTCTACAAACAGGTCTGGGACAAAGTTGTGGAGAAGTTCAGATCAGGGTTGGGTTATAAAAAAATATCAGAAACTTTGAACATCCCACGGAGCACCATTAAATCCATTATTAAAAAATTGAAAGAATATGGCACCACAACAAACCTGCCAAGAGAGGGCCGCCCACCAAAACTCATGGACCAGGCAAGGAGGGCATTAATCAGAGGCAACAAAGAGACCGAAGATGACCCTGAAGGAGCTCCACAGCGGAGATTGGAGTATCTGTCCATAGGACCAGTTTAAGCCATACACTCCACAGAGCTGGGCTTTATGGAAGCGTGGCCAGAAAAAAGCCATTGCTTAACGAAAAGACATAAGCAATGAGACTAAAATTGAGCTTTTTGGCCATCAAGGAAAACGCTATGTCTGGCGCAAACCCAACACCTCTCATCACCTCTCATCACCCCGAGAACACCATCCTCACAGTGAAGCATGGTGGTGGCAGCATCATGCTGTGGGGATGTTTTTCATCGGCAGGGACTGGGAAACTGGTCAGAATTGAAGGAATGATGGAGGGCGCTAAATACAGGGAAAATCTTGATGGAAACCTGTTTCAGTCTTCCTGAGATTTGAGACTGGGACGGAGATTCACCTTCCAGCAGGACAATGACCTTAAGCATACTGCTAAAGCAACACTCAAGTGGTTTAAGGGGAAACATTTAAATGTCTTGGAATGGCCTAGTCAAAGCCCAGACCTCAATCCAATTGAGAATCTGCGGTATGACTTAAAGATTGCTGTACACCAGCGGAACCCATCCAACTTGAAGGAGCTGGAGCAGTTTTGCCTTGAAGAATGGGCAAATTTCCCAGTGGCTAGATGTGCCAAGCTTATAGAGACATACCCCAAGAGACTTGCAGCTGTAATTGCTGCAAAAGGTGGCTCTACAAAGTATTGACTTTGGGGGGGTGAATAGTTATGCACGCTCGTTTTCTGTTTTTTTGTCTTATTTCTTGTTTGTTTCACAATAAAAAATGTTTTACATCTTCAAAGTGGTAGGCATGTTGTTTAAATCAAATGATACAAACCCCCCAAAAATCTATTTTAATTCCAGGTTGTAAGGCAACAAAATAGGAAAAATGCCAAGGGGGGGGAATAATTTCGCAAGCCACTGTACCTGTATATGTAGCCTATAGGTTGTTCATTTAGAATGTGTCATGTGGTAACGTCCTTTGTTCGTGCTGTGTTTTTGTTCTGTATGTCAGGTGACTTCTCATGGAGTGGTGCGGAGCAGGCTCCGGGGGTGACCCCTGCCCTGGTAATGCCCACGGCCACTCCCGTCCTGCCAACGCTGGAGGATGACGAGGAGGGGGTGGAGTACATGGAGGAGGACATCCAGGCCACGGTGGCCCGTCTGACTGAGGGCTTCTCAGCCCTGCGCTCCGTCCTCACCCCCCTCTTCTTCAGAGGCCTCTTTGCCTTCCTTAGCTGGTGGGTGGCCGCCTGCCAGGTCATCAGCAGCCTGTTTGGCATCTACTTCCACCAGTACCTCATGCAGAACTGAGGAAGGATACGCAGAACTACACTACCCACAATCCCTATCCAACACAAGCCCAGTGTGACTGAAGTGTGATGTAGGCAAAACTCTTGAATACAACACAAGGACCGGATGGGTGCTCTTGTGCCTATTACTGTAACTAAGGTGTCACAGATATAAAAAGGGACATGTGAGGGTTTCTTCTGACATTCTGACACACTACTACTTTTACTACCTTATTGTCATGTGGGACACAGATGATGTTGTTGCCTGTGACTGCCTGGGGACTATGATGGAAATGCAGTATAATGGGGACTGAACTCTGTACCTTGCTACTTATCACATTTCTCTTAAGCCAGTGTTAACCATTTCATTTTTCATCACACAATATTGTTAAATGCTGCAAATGAGCCTTTACTATTAGGAAAAAGGTACCACTACAATACAGCCTAGTTTGCTATTCGACAGATTCAGAAGTGCTTGATGCTTTGTGTTTATTTTCGTCCTATAGTTCTGCTATATACCGTACCGATTGTCATGAACCCATGGAGTTCATTCTATTTAGCAGTCATCACCACTTGTGCATGGATCGATCAAACTTGGGCCTCGCATGTTAATTTTCCTTAATCATTTATACCCACCTTTAAAACGAAGCACTGAGGATCAGTTACTGTATTTATTTAATGAAGGGATTCAAAGAGGAATTCCAAGTGCCTGGAAACTCAGGGATTTTAAGTCAATGATAAGATCTCTTTTTTTTCTATAAAATGGTAGACTGGTGATAAAAATAGCTATCTGTATCATCGAATAACACTCCAGCCCAGACTGGATTTGGCCAAATGTACCTGTGTTATCAACCATCTTTCAGTCTCAACAAAGTTTGTTAGTTGTTTGAACGAAGTACTTTGTCTTTTATTGCTGCCAAACGATAATTTGCTTAAAACTTAAACCTTGGTCTGAAATGCTTTGCAGATTGTTGTCAAGGTTTTTTTTTTCTTTTTATATATTTATACCCTATTGCCACGGGTCATATTGTGTTGGAAAGGTACAGGTGTCGTGCTGCTGTACGTTTGGGTCGTTTTGTTTATGGCAAGTGTGATTTCTGTGTGATTTGTTTGATTGAATGTTCGCTAATCATTTCACGGTGTGTGGTTTGCATGAAGATGCTGTTTTTTTGTTTTGTTTTTACAATTAAGAGACTTCTGAATGCATGGTGTGAACTTTTAGTTGTGTACAAATGTTTTATTTGGTTGTCGCTTAATAAAACAAGAATTTAATGTTTTCATGATTCTTTAGTTTTTCTTTTAGTATACCAAAATCACATGTTTTGATTATCCCAGCAACATTTACATTTAATTTAAATTTCAGCTTTTATTTTCTCCCAATGAATACTTTCTGTTATCATAAAGCGTGGGAGATAAGGGTGATAAAAGATTTGACAAAAGACATCATGCATGACAATGGTGTGTCTAGTCACTGAATTGGGTATTCACCTCTGACCTTAATCATTGATAATTGCCCTGCACTTATTCCTCCTCAACAATCGGATATAGAGAATAGATACATATTTTTAGTAAATATATTTTGACGTTTAGATCTTAATATGTGCAATATATAGCTTTGTAGCAATGTGATGCAGTGCAACATGTGGGTCACAAATGTAATGCTGACTTATGTCAAATCTTTGTTTCTCAAATTGTATATTTTTCTGGGTATCATTTATTGTGAAATAATATTGGTAAAAATCTACTTGATATTGTACAGCGCTAAGGAACATGACCTTCCCTCAGACGTGACACAGCCAGACGGGCCTATGGAGCGTTCGTCTGAGAGCTGACATGATTTATTGGAGATATTATTTGACTTCCAGATCCAGTCAAAACCCACAAAGACGCCCAATTTAGGGAGGGACGGCCCTTTATCTGAGCCTTTATGTGCAAGTGAGGTGGGATATGCTTCATTGGAGGATATCGATGGTGCTCAAGCACTAAGAAAACGTACTAGAGGGGACCAGATAACACCTTGGAACTTTTTATGTTATGGATGGCTGAGATTCTGATCTTGAATGTCTGTTGCACTAACATAATACTTTTTCTGTTTAACAACAGATTTTTATATGATGTTATGATTTTTTAATCGTTGAGTGAAATTTCGAAAAAATATTGTTTGCCCACCTGTTTTATTTTTTTATTTTTTTATTTCCTTATGCATTTGACTTTGATGCTTTTCAGATCATGGAGCCTTTTACAATGATGTCAAAACAGCTATTCTGAGTACTTTGACTTCCTTCTGAGAATTTTCTACCTAACTCTCCATTGCCCCTCCTGGTATGAGGCCCATATAAAGTGTTGTATGTGGCGGGACTTGCGCTCCTCCAATGGCCAGGCAGACCCAGGCCTTTACTAGCCTCTGACAGGTCTGGGAGAGTGTCCGGCTTAATGAACTGGAAGGTGACAGGGTTGACATATCTATATAATCACATTAATTATGTGCATGTGTTTGGAGGCCCCCAGTCTGCAGCCTGCAGCCACCATGGCTGTTGCTATAGGGACCAGGCAGCGACCAGACAACCGAGGCTTCAGCCATGCCCTGCAGACTGGCCCTATCCTCAGGGGAGCTGCCCAGACACCACCCCTGTGACTCTCTTTTCATTTGGGGAGCAGAGAGGCCATGCTGACGAGTGTGGGAGAGGGATAATTGTAGCCAATTTCATCCTGGTTATTCTAAATTGTAGGGAAATGCTCTAGAGGGACGAACATATTCACTGTATGTGATGTCAAGCTTTGATTGTAAGGCATTTTGTACTGTATGCACACCGTATAAAGCTTTTCTGGTTTTAAAGTGTTCCTCCATTCTTGTTCCCCCCTCAGTTGGAACCTTGTGGTTTGACATGATAATATGATAATGAGTGACTACATGTATAAATACATGGACACATGAAAGATAGATACACATAGCAGATAGCATTTTATCTGTCTTCAGATAAATATACATAAAAGGAAATGCTGTGACTTATGAATCACAATTTTTTGAAATTACAGTCAATTAGATGTACAGCACTCAGAAGGTCAAAATAACTTACAAATCAAATCATGCTTATTGAAAGGCAGCCACATCATTAAAATAAGTATAAAGCCATGGGTTGTTTTGATAAATACTGCCAGCGCTGACACTACCCACTGGGCACATACATCATTTCAACGTGTAGTTTTGATTTACATTTGGTTGAGTTGTCAACTAACGTAAATTCAATGTGAAATCAACAAAAAATGTCACCATGTCATTGGATTTAGGTTAAAAGTTGGGTGAAATAAAGACGAAATTCCCTTATGTTGATGACTTTTTGCAAATCCAATCAGTTTTCCACATTGATTCAACGTCATCACATTGTTTTTTTTTTTTAAATGATATGGAAACAACGTTGATTCAACCAGTTTTTGCCCAGTGTATATTGATGTGCTGGAATAACCTGTGTGGTATTTACTGACAAGCGCTTATATTCGAAAATATGTCAAAAGAGCTTTCATGTGAATGTCTGCGAGAATACTGTTGGTAACTATGAAGTTATTGTTTTTCACTTTCTACATTTATCCATAGTTGAAATAGTTTGTGTCAATATGCACACATAAATATTTATCCAGGCAATAATTCCATATTGTCAATCAGAACCTGCCCATATACCCTCTATGTGTATGTCTTCAATACACTAATTATGCAGTTTTATATGAATACCATCACAGTGCACTGCTTTAACTTGTCACTTTTGCCATGGAAAATCAGATAATGAATTACCATTAGTAGGGCTAATGGCTGATTCTTTCTGCATTGTCTTGCCTTCAGAGTGATAGTGTGAAATATGTTGACCTCTTGTGGACAAAGGAGTTCACTTCAATCTACACACAAACCCACAAGAAGAACCAAAATGGATACAAGATCATTTTACATTAACTTTTTTCAGACTTTTTAAACACAAAATTGATAATGAAACAATAACACACCACCAATCCTCTGCATAAAACACAAAAATCTTTTTTTTTTAAACAGAATAATAAAAAACACAAACTCACACGAGCAATAAAATGTGTCTTAACAATGTATTTTTTTTCCATTGACAAAAGTGAATTTATGCAGTTTATTTGATAGGTGTCTGATTCTCAACATACCTTATTCCCATTGCCCCACTGACAATTAATCAAATTGTTTCCTTTTCAGGAATTAATAAATCACTTTTGAATTGATTTAAACAAAATACAGTGTTGAAAGTAGTAAAGCTCAACTTTATAAAATGGTTATACTGAATATGGACCTTGAGCGTCACAAGCAGGAATAGATTGAAGATATATGATGATTACTAGTAATGGGTGATTCTTACACGCCCTTATATGCTAAACGTTGGCTTGTTTAGGATATTGCTTTACAAATAATTAAATTGAACACAATATCCATTTATAAGAAATAAAGCACATGTTACATTCCCTTTGGTCTTAAATGTGTCATAATTTTGCATTACTAAGGCCAGTGTTCAAAAAGAAAGAATTGAACTATGCAGTATATAGTGTAAAAACAAACAGCTTTGATAAGTAATATTCTAGCCTTAAAAAGCAACACTAAACCTGTATAATGGAACCAATTATCCAAATCCCTGAGAGACTTATTGATGCACAGATTTTAAATACAAAAATCCATAAGTGCAGATTGCATTTTTGTTTTTCTTTAATCAATTCCTATCCAGACCAACTTCCCACTCACTATCACAGAGGCCGTGCCACTATGATAGATGAGTAGAACCTTGGTGCTCCCTAATCGGTCTCCTCTGAGCTGACCACTTCATTGATTTTGGGCTAAAGGCTAAAGCATTAAAGTTATATATGTACAGTAACTGGGGACCTGAATGTAAAGTATTACTCTGAAACACTGTGCTCTAAGAACATGGCTAAATGTCTGATACTCCCTCACCCTCTGCTCTGTAGCTCAAACAGGATGAGAGAACCACACTGATGTGTCATTTGACACCCCTCTGACCCCAACACACAGACAAACCAACAAAACCCAACAACAACACACCCAGACTATATATCCTCACTGTATCAGAATCAGAGAGGCAGTGCCACATGTTCATCACCCACAAGGGAGGGTCCAGCCCAGCTCTAAGGGGGGGTCTTTCTTTCCTTTGGGATGATGTGAACGAATGAACCTCATCTCCCCATCCTCCTCTCTCTGTGTGTGGGAAACCATGTGGCTGGCTTGAAGGAGGGTGGGTGGTGGGTGGTAGTCGCTGCCAGCTATCTCTGCCACCCATCGCTGATTTCTAATTGCCTCAGGGGCAGCCCCCCTTTCTCCTCTGCCCCTTGCTCAGCCGGGTAGGGAAAACCTCCTTTGGGGAACTCCTCTCTCTCATTGGCTGGGTAGGGCTCCTGGAGGGTGTGGCAAGCAGAATCGGGGGTGCTCACTGGAGAGTGCTGCCTCAGATGGTGCAGGGGCGGAGAGGTCGGGGAGCAGATGTGCTCCGGGGAGGCTCGCTCTGATTTGATGCTGAGATTGAGGGAGGAGTGAGGAGGAGGGGTGGGGGTGGAGGCCTGAGAGGGGAAAGAGCACCCTCTGCTGGATATCCTGGTACACAGCAAGCAGACAGAGAAAAAGGAAGAAAATATGCATGACGTAGAGCGGGGGTATTCAACTCTTACCCTACGAGGTCCGGAGCCTGCTGGTTATCTGATAATTAATTGCACCCACCTGGTGTCCCAGGTCTAAATTAGTCCCTGATTAGAGGGGAACAATGAAAAAACGCAGTGGAACTGGCTTTGAGGTCCAGAGTTGAGTTTGAGGGACGTAGAGTATGAAATAACTCCTCACATGCTATTTTTCCTATAAAGGGCACTAGAATACACACCACAGCAGTATCAAGGTCAATCCTTGTGCAATGTTTAACACTTAGTAATTGAATAAGGTTTACATATCAGTGGTCTTACGCTGGGCTGAGGTGGGGTACATGCTGCTCCTGCTGTTGTGCTGTCTGCCAGGGGTTCACTGTCCCACGCTGTAGACTCACAGCATGGGAGAAAGCTGGGTGGCTGTAGTCTGGGACAGAGGAAAATTATTATTTTATATCACTAACTAAGAAGCACATACAGATGTCAGAAGAGCAGAGCTGCAGTCTTACCAGATGGTCCAGCAGAGGAGAGGCCGTAGTCCCCAAGACTGTGGCCCAGCAGACCTGCCTTCCCCATGGCCAGCATGTGGTTCACTGGGTGCATGCCCTGGTACAGTATGCCTCTCTGATCATTACATGGAGAGAGAAGCAGTTACTCGGTTCAATCTCTCCTTGGTTCAATCTCTTCATTATCACTGTTAAAAAGCTATCTACAAAACAATACAGGCCATGTGAGTAAGTGTGAGAGTGAGAATTATAGTGTACAAGTGTGAGTGTGGTTGGACCTCTGATTGGCCTTTCGTAATGACATCGTCATAACCCTGCACTCTGATTGGTCTCTTGATAATGACATCATCATAATGACATCGTCATCACCCTGCTCTCTCATTGGTCCATCATAACCCTGTTCTCTGATTGGTCCCTTCATTATGGCATTATCATTATGACGTTATCCTAACTGGGGCTGTGGCAGTAATTACATTTAGTCAGATGGTGATTGTCAAGCAAATAACTGCCGGTCTCATGGTAATTGAACGCTAATTAACATAAACACATTTAGCATCTCCTGGCTTCCACTCATAGCCTACAAGCCACTGATGCAGACCTTTGGAACATCTACATTTAAAAAAGTCTAATAAATCAATTTAATATAGCCTACACCTTCACAATAAATCCATTATTTATTTTAGACAGGTCTAAAGAAACATGATATGAAGAAAATGTAGTATATTTCAGAAGAACAGAATAGCATACTCTGAGTTGTCCTTATGTTAGGTCCTGATCTGGTTATGCCATATGTCTGTGGGCTACACTAGTTCATTTAGCAGACAAGATTTGCTTAGAATTCCGTGTATTATTATTTTATAGTATGAAGAATACAATTGAACATAGCTGAATAAAATAGAAAGGATATTTTCTCAATGATTTGAGGGAGTGCGCACATGCGGCTATTCTGTATTGAGCGGTTAACAAAGAAGGTCCTCCTATATGCTTAATTTAGAGTTATTTATGCAACTGTAATTGTGATACAAACGTTGGGCTATATGTTTAGATTTTTAATACATTCTAAGGCTGCATCATGCGACTCTAATGATGATTTGAAAAAAGTACCATGAAAGGCATGAGCTCTGCTTTGTTTCTTCCACAGGCTGCACACACTTCATCAGTCTCTCATTCACAATTTGACAAGCACTTGATAATGCCTCGAATTTCCCGACGGCATCCCTCTAGTGTGGCCTTAATGCCCACTAAAATAATCCATGCCTTTTGCGGCCAGTGGCCGTTTTGCCTTTGGGTTGACTATAATAATTATAATTCACTTCTCCCGGCTATGTGTTCCGAAGCACCTCTAACTCACATGGCTTTCTCAGATATCGCAATTCTTATTAGCCAATGCCCGTCACGTGATCGGGTTCTTCTCACAGGCATCTATCTCAGCTCCGAAGTAGGCTACAAGTGAAGACAGACACATCGGGGACGCAACTGCGCGTGTCCGTCTTATCGAATTCCGAGGCGCATATTTAAGATGTTAGAAGAACTGTCCACATTTACTTTTCGTCAGCCAACAAGATGAGTAGGCCTAACGATGAGTAGGCCTCTACTATTCCCCATAGTACAAAAGTTGACTTATTCTATTGGTCAACTTGTCCTTCTGTGCGATAAATAAATATTCCAAACATACTCTGGGACAGTTGTGGGATGCGATAGATCCCAAATTAATACAACCACTCGCATCAAAAAACTTATTTTTTTTACCCCCTTTTTCTCCCCAATTTCGTGATTACGATCTTGTCTCATCGCTGCAACTCCCCAACGGGCTCGGGAGAGGTGAAGGTCGAGTCATGCGTCCTCCGAAACATGAACCGCCAAACTGCGCTTCTTAACACCCGCTCGCTTAACCGGGAAGCCAGCTGTACCAATGTGTCGGAGGAAACACCGTCCAACTGACGACCGAAGTCAGCCTAGAGTGCGATGAGCCAAGTACCCCCGGCCAAACCCTCCCCTAACCCGGACGACGCTGGGCCAATTGTGCGCCACCCTATGGGACTCCCAGTCATAGCCGGAAATGACACAGCCTGGGATCGAACCCCAGAATGCAGTGCCTTATACTGCTGCGCCACTCGGGTGGCCTTTCAAAAAATATTTTAACCTCTACGGGATCGGTGCACCGTATATGGGACGGTTGAGCTAACGTGCGCTAATGTGATTAGCATGACTGTTGTAAGTAACAGCAAACTTTCCAGGACATAGCCATGTTTTATATTGGCAGAAAGCTTAAATTCTTGTTAATCTAATTGCACTGTCCAATTTACAGTAGCTATTACAGTGAAAAAATACCATGCTATTGTTTGAGGAGAGTGCACAACAACAAAACACATTTCACGGCAACTGGTTTGATACATTCACCTCTGAAGGTAAATAATGTACTTACATTCAGTTTTCTTGCTCTGATTTGTCATCCTAAGGGTCCCAGAGATAAAATGTAGCATAGTTTTGCTTGATAAAATACATTTTTATATTCAAATGTAGGAACTGGGTTCTACAGTTTGAACCCCTGCTGTCTCTGGCTCCACACCCACCCCGCCCGGCCATCGAGATGTGTGAAAGTTAGTGTATAAGCTAATGATCCATCATGTATGACATTCCTGGGAGTGTGTAAACTTATATTTTGTAGTACCATATCATTTTTGTATGCTCTCTATAGTTATGTACTTGAAAATGGACCAATTCGGCACATTTGGGCAGACTTGATACAAAATAGTCCAGTATTGCAATGCGTCACTGGATCAATCTGAAACTTTGCACACACACTGCTGCCATCTAGTGGCCAAAATCTAAATTGCACCTAAACTGCAATATTATTGTCACGGTATACTTGTGGATGTGGTGGTGAAGTCAGGCGCAGGACACAGCGGATAAGTCAAAACGACTTTACTTGACTCAATGACACAATACAAAAATAAATGGCCTCGAACACACAGGAGGCGATAACCTACGCGCAACGCGTAAAACACTAATACACAAAATATACCAAAAAGACAAACGACAGGCGGACATTAACACACAACTACAAAACATAACACAGTGAAACTTATAGGTGACATAATCAGGACAGAATACGAAACAGGTGCACTAAACTAGACATGACCAAACAAACATCGAAACATCCAACGGTGGCAGCTAGTACTCCGGGGACGACGAACGCCGAAGCCTGCCCGAACAAGGAGGAGGAGCAGCCTCGGCGGTATTCGTGACAGTACCCCCCCCTTGACCGTGCGCCGACCCCGGCCTCGGGGACGGCCAGGAGGACGCGGAGCAGGGCGCGTGGGATGGTTACAGTGGAACTCCGTCAGGAGGGAGGGATCTAAGATATCCCTCCTAGGCACCCAGCACCGTTCCTCCGGACCGTACCCCTCCCACTCCACGAGATATTGTAGACCCCCCCATCCGACGTCTCGAATCCACGATGGACCGGACTGAGTACGCCGGAGCCCCCTCGATGTCCAGTGGGGGCGGAGGAGTCTCTCTTATCTCATTGTCCTGGAGTGGACCAGCTACCACCGGCCTGAGGAGAGACACATGGAACGAGGGGTTAATGTGATAATCATTAGGCAGTTGTAACTTGTAGCATACCTCGTTCAATCTCCTCAGGACTTTAAATGGCCCCACAAACCGCCGACCCAGCTTCCGGCAGGGCAGGCGAAGGCGCAGGTTTCGAGTCGAGAGCCAGACTCGATCTCCAGGTGCGTATACTGGACCCTCACTGCGTTGGAGATCGGCGCTCGCCTTCTATCTACGGATAGCCCGCTGCAGATGGACGTGTGCAGCGTTCCACGTCTCCTCCGAGCGCCGAAACCACTCATCCACCGCAGGAGCCTCGATCTGGCTCTGATGCCATGGTGCCAGAACCGGTTGATATCCTAACACACACTGGAAAGGGGTCAGGTTAGTAGAGGAGTGGCGAAGAGAGTTCTAGGCAATCTCTGCCCAAGGGATATAACCCGACCACTCCTCCTGCCGGTCCTGGCAATACGATCTCAGAAACCTACCCACATCCTGGTTCACTCTCTCCACCTGCCCATTACTCTCAGGGTGAAAACCCGAGGTAAGGCTAACCGAGACCCCCAAACGTTCCATGAACGCCCTCCAGACTCTAGAGGTGAATTGGGGACCTCGATCAGACACTATATCCTCGGGAACCCCGTAGTGCCGGAAGATGTGGGTAAACAAAGCCTCAGCGGTCTGTAGGGCAGTAGGGAGACCCGGCATTGGGATGAGACGACAGGCCTTAGAGAACCGATCCACAACGACCAGAATGGTGGTATTCCCCTGGGAGGGAGGTAGGTCAGTGACAAAATCTACCGAGAGGTGAGACCACGGCCGTTGTGGAACGGGCAGGGGCTGTAACTTCCCCCTGGGCAGGTGTCTAGGCGCCTTACACTGGGCGCACACCGAGCAGGAGGAGACATAAACCCTCACGTCCCTAGCCAATGTTGGCCACCAGTACTTAACGCTAAGGCAGTGCACTGTCCGGCCAATACCTGGATGTCCAGAGGAGGGTGACGTGTGAGCCCAATATATGAGACGATCACGGATCTCGAGCGGCACGTACGTCCGCCCCACTGGACACTCCGGAGGAGTAGGGTCGGTGCGTAACGCCCGCTCGATTTCCGTATCGATCTCCCACACCACCGGTGCCACCAGACAAGACTCCGGCAGTATGGGAGTGGGCTCAATGGACCTCTCCTCTGTGTCATACCGCCGGGACAGGGCGTCTGCCTTACCGTTCTGGGACCCTGGGATGTACGTAAGCTTAAAGACAAACCGGGTCAGAAACATGTTCCACCTAGCCTGACGAGGGTTCAGTCTCCTAGCTGCCCGGATGTACTCCAGGTTACGATGGTCAGTCAGAATGAGAAAAGGGTGTTGAGCCCCCTCAAGCCAATGCCTCCACACCTTTAGGGCCTGAACTACGGCTAGCAGCTCCCTGTCCCCTACGTCATAATTTCGTTCCGCCGGGCTGAGCTTTTTAGAATAAAAAGCGCAGGGCCGGAGTTTAGGAGGCATGCCTGAGCGTTGAGACAATACTGCCCCAATACCGGC